GCGGACCGGGGGGTCCCGCAGTCCGGATTGGACCAGAGGGACCCCCATCCTGCCGCCCGTATTGGGCTGAGGGGGTTCCACAGCCGGGATTGGACCAGGAGGTCCCACAGTCTGGATTGGACCAGAGGGACCCCCATCCTGCAGTCCATATTGGAGTAAGGGGGTTCCACAGCCTGGATTGGACCAGGGGGTCCCGCAGTCCGGATTGGACCAGGAGATCCTGAAGTCCGCATTGGACCAGAGGGACCCCCATCCTGCAGTCCGTATCGGACTGAGAGGGTTCCACAGCCTGGATCGGACCGGGAGATCCCGCAGTCCGGATTGGACCAGGGGGGCCCTCATCCTGCAGTCCTTATCAGACTCAGGGGGTCCCACAGCCAGGACTGGACCAGAGGGACCCTCTATCCTGCAGCCCATATCGGACTAGGGGGTCCTGCAGCCCGGATCAAACTGGGGGGACCTGCTGTCTTGCAGCCGGATCAGGCCTGGGGACCCCCCCCCATCCCACGGCCCAGATCAGACGGAGGGGGTCCCTCAGGCCGGATGGGACGTGGGGGGTCCTACAGCCCAGATCAGCCTTGGGGACCTCCCATCCTACAGCCTAGATCAGACCAGAGGCAACCCCATCCCACAGCCCGGGTCAGACCCAGGCGGTCCCACAGATTGGATCGGACCTGGGGGTCCCGCAGCCCGGATTGGACCAGAGGGACCCCCCATCCTGCAGTCTATATCGAACTCGGGGAGTTCCACAGCCTGGATCGGACCAGGGGACCCCCTGTCCTGCAGCCCATATCAGCCTAGGGGGTCCTGCAGCTCAGATCAGACCAGGGAGGGTCCCACAGCCTGAATCAGCCTGGGGGGTCCTGCAGCCTGGATCAGCCCTGGGGACACCCCTCCCCATACCGGCTCGGCTTTCGGGTGCTGTTAGTGGCCTTGCACTCGAGAAAGATGGAGGCTGCCCCGTTGCTGTTGAGGCAGCTTGCGCACTTCCCATCCGACGGCTGCTGGGGTTTGCTGAAAGAGGGAGACCGGGACAAAGCCACCCCGTTGAGGGTTGACTTGAAAAGCTAATGAACAGTGCAACGTGTTCAAATCACCCGACTCCCAGAGATGCAACTTTACCAGCTGAAACGTTGCAGAAGTTGGCGAAACTTTGCCTCGCTGCAGCCTGCTGCAACGCCCTGCTTTCTGCCTGCAGCAGACACGTGAAGAGGGCGTGAAGGGATTGCTCGGACCGCTCGGTTTGGTTTTGGAGGGACCGAACCAAAAATAAGACACGCTTAAGACGCCAGAGGCTGTCGGCTGCTCCCGGGCGCTGAGCCGTCGTTGCGGCTCGCCTGCCCAGTCTGCTCAAGGCTTCGTGGGTAGCTCCCGGCGGGGGGAAGTAGAGCAGCCTCCGCGCTGCTCTGATTTGCATCTGCCTGTCCCAAGCCTCCCTTGTGCATCCAAGTCCCTTTAATGTGGGGAAAGCCCACCACAAGGCTTAAAGGCAAAATTCACACAAGCCTTGTGCCCCGAAGATGGGTGGGAGCAGGGCCTCGGTTTTGTACCAGACTGATGGGAAAGAGAGAAGAGGATTCATGCAGAGGGTGGAAAGAGTTAGAAAGAAAACCTTGCTAAACATGTTGTAGAGAGGAACGGGGATGAGGTCAGCTGAAGATTTTGCGGGGGAAAGAAAAAAAAAACGAATCCTAACCCCAGGCCCATTCCCCTCCAGCTTTTACGGACTTGCTGCTGCAAGAAAGTTTGAGCCGTTGCCTGTAAAGGCAACAGAAACCCCAACCAGGGACCCCTCCTGAGAGATTCAGCTCTCACATCCCCGTATATGATCGCGTGACCTATTAATAAAATCCATAGAAACCAATTCTGTGTACCAAATAACAGCAGATGGCTCCAGCCCAAACCGCTCCGGGTTCCCTCACTCCATAAATGATTTTACTAGGCCAGTCGTGAGCTCGATGTAACTGAATAGGTTTCGCTCTCTTCGCTCTCCCTCCCCCTCCCCAGAATATTTGTGCAGCTTTCGGAGAGGCATCCAGAGGGACTGAACTGTTACTGGAAGGAACCTCTGACTCTGGCTTGCCTCATCACTTTGGGAAGCGGCGTAAGTCTATCCTAAGCCACCTGGCTTTGGGAAGGAGGTTGCCTTTCTCTGCACCTTCCCTCCAGCTCTTGCAGCGTTTAATAACAGTCTGGTCACTTGGCACATTGGAAATGTTTTGGCTCCTACCCATCGGGGATGGATGTAATGAATTCTTGCGCTGCAGATGCGTTTAGGAAATAAATCATATGTGTTTACCTTGGGAACCAGGCACAGAGCCCCAGTACTTCAGGCTCAAGTTTTTAAGACACTAAGCGACAAGCAGCTCCTTCAAAACCTCCCCGTTTTTAATGACAGTCAGTTAGGCAAGTACCAATTGCTGTGGAAAACTCCGTCCAAGCATCTCTTTCCCGAGCCTCTTTGATGCCCCGGAAATCCAGCTACAGGGATTTCATTTCCGGCGTGTTCCCAAACAACGAATGATCGTCCATGTCTGTAAAACACGTTTCCACTGATGTCAACAGCACTTGGCTGATGTGTGCGCCGAGGAGCCGGCTCTACGGCTCTGCCTCCCTCGGTGGCTCTTGAAGACGTTTATAAAGCTTGGAAGAAGGATGAACGGAGACGTATGGTTTTGTGTGTAGTTTCATGTTGTCATGGTACAAACGTGCTGTAGCAACCCTCGCCACACTTCTGGAGAGAAGCGAAAAGCTGGCAGAGAGCGCACGGCAGAGAGCGATAGCAAAACCAGTGTGATGCAGACAGCAGTTGTTGTGGATACACATGTGCTGGGAAATAGAAGAGACACAGGGCTATTCGCCATCCCTAAAAACAACAGGCACGGCATACCCTTACAGCCAAACCCCCGTCTTTTCCAAACCGGCATGCCCAAACTGCCAGCAAAAAGTTTAATGACACGAGTGGGTAACAGTGATCTCTAAGAAGCGTTGGCAGCTCATCCGCAGACCAAAAGCTTTGCAAATCGTAGCCCTAAGCTGTTCTATTTATGCTTCTCTTTCTCCGACGTAAGCGGTAGTATTTGCTGTGGGGAGAAAAGGGAGAAGATACTTGGCTTTTACCTAGCTGCTACTATTTTGGGCTGTGTTAGGGTTCCTGCAGGAAGTGAACACAGGTCCCTGAGCGCCGACCCAATTCTTAAGTGACTAAGTATGCTCTGTCTAACCTGCAATTCTCCCATGCCTTCTGTTTGATATAATATCCTTTCTTGTTTCCTGTCCTAAACGGCAGCATAAAGCTCTTGTGTGCTGCGAGACATGTGGCAGCCTTTCTCTCCCATAGAGATGGCGGTGCATCAGCGGTGGGTGAAATCATTGCTATACTTAGTTTGCAACCTGTAAAGGAATGATGCCATCTCAATGTAAAGGAAAGAAACTAATTATTCAGGGTGGAAAAAGGGGCTGCAGCCATCCTATGTCCGTCTTAGTGATTCCACCTGGGCAGAAGCCGTGTTTATTCTACTTAAATGTTCTCCCATTTCCCATATGTTTTGAACCACTGCTTGCCAGGCTGAGTGATTTGGGGCCTACCTGAGGCGTAAGACCGGGCAGGACCTACAGACTGTCCGTGGCTGTGTCAGCGTTCCTGCAGAGGCTTTTGCTGCTCCCAGAACATGGCTAAACACGGCCAGAGGTGCTCTGGGGACAAGCATTTGGGGACAGCATTTCACCTCTGCCTCTGCTCCCGTTTTACAGGAATGAAACCCCACCTCGCCCCAGCAGCTATGACTATATACCGGGCAGAGCAGGCGCTCAGATCTGCTGCCCGAACTCACGGGCAAGAGCAACATGGGATCTCTCTGGCTCATCGGGCTTTGACATTTTTCCTCTGCCGTGGCAGGAAGCCGTTCCCCGCCATCAGCCGTTAGCACCTCCCGTGCCCCGTGATGGGTCAGCCCCGTGGGTTAGCGCGGTCCCCCACAAGTCGGGGTTATTACCCGCCGGGTTGAGTAGGAAATCTCAGACTCCTTCCCAGACTCTGCAAACAGGGTGTTTCTAGCACCCGCTTTGGCATAAAAGGTAGGTGGCAGCAGCAGCAACCACATTTTGAAAGGGAAGGGTGACTCCTGCACTTGATAGTGAGCCGCGCAAGCCTCGTGCGGGAGGAGAGATCGACCGTGAGGGAATGCAGCAGCCCCCCATTTTGGGGGGGTTTGGAAGTTGCTACGTGATGGGGTCCGAGTCGCAGCCCTCTCTGTGGCTGTGAGCTTCGGTGCAGCATGTGTCTGTGTCCACCTACCTAACCGCATCCCGCTGACGGGAGATTTTGCAGATCTTAAGAAACAGACACAGAGGGCTGAGTGTGACACACAGAGGAAGGCAGCAGCATGCAACAGCCAGCAGTCTTGATCAACCAAAACGCTCAGATTTGAACTCATAATCCATCCAAACTGGGTGTGACTGCAGCGAGATTAGTTGTGTGGATGAATTTTTTTTCCTGGTAGTTGTTGCACTCGTTTTAATGGCTGAATGTAACTTTCCACGCTGTCTTTGTTCCATGACTCACCTTCTCTGCCCAAACAAGGGGAAAAACCGCTCCAAAAGCGACAAAGTGAAAGTGGAGAGGGCCTAGTTTCTGGGCAGGTTGTTAAGCAAACATCACCAGAGAGCATTTGTCTGTGATGCATTTGCACGTATGCAAGGAGCTTAGAGCTTGTATCCTCCAAAGAATATTCGCTAGGTGACACTACCTGTCACGCTGGTGAAAGGTGTGGAGCTGAAAGCTTCAGGGAGTTATCATGTCTGTCTGCAAACAGACCCAGTTTAGACTTTCCCAGGTAAGGTCAGAACTATCCCAGAATATTTATGGGCTCATGTGGTGTCTGAAACAAGGTGGGAAATAGCACAAGAAATATTGTCCTTGTGGCATTCGCAGCTGAAACTTCAAGAAAGCCAACAATTGCAAGGGGCATCCTTGGTTTCCATCTCAAGTTCCCAGAAAGTTCAGAGAAAATCTTGATAGTTTCCTGGACAGAACCAAGATTCTCCAGCCTGCAATTGGCCCCTCTCTAGTAAAGTCTAAGGGAGAAGAGGACTGAAAGAGCATGGTCCAGACTTGGGTTGAGGTACGTGTATCCAGCCTGCCCTGTTCTCTGACTCCACTGGCTTCACTGGGATTTTGCTCCCTGGGAATATGACCCTATTTCTCTAATCCCTCTCCTCATTTGAAAGGTAGTCAATCTACTGCTCTATAGTCAAAGGCACCCGTTACAATCACAGCTGCCGTTGCAATCAGTATTTTGTACTCCTTGCTGTATTCTTGATGAAGAAGCTGCTACCAGAAGCCTTCAGGCATATTTGTACTCTTACAACTGAGAGCGAATCATTCTCGCGCACCCATTGAGCCTGAGTTTCTTTGTATTTCTTCACATACACACACACACACACTCACATACGCACGCGCGCACACACACACACACACACACACACACACACGGAGCTGGATTTTGGCTGACAGAAATGAAGGGAAGTAGAGACTGATTTACTGCAACTGGGATCTGTCCCATTAGCCATAAACTTATCGGCACACATCAAGTGGAAACCTACAGTTTTTCCTTTACATCTGTCACGAGGGGGAAGAAATCACAGAAACAATCAAAACCTGACTGTTTACACATGTTTTGTTTTATAAATGGACTTGTATAGAAAGTTGCAGCACTGTTGCACAGACAGCTCACATAAATCTCTTATCACAAAAGCCATATGTCCTCATTTCCTCATCTGCAGTAAAACACAAGCAGCAGCACTTGGATAATTAGGAAGCTGGAGGTAAACGACTCAGCATCCAGCACTGGGAAAGCATATTTGGGTGAAGGTTACAAAACACAAAACACTGCAATTTGCTTTTGAGCAGTGTCACTTGTCTGGAGAACTTTCCGTCGTGCCATCGTAGCTGGTGCGTTAACAACCTAGTTCTTCCTGGAGGGCACGCTGGAGAAACTGGAAATGTCTGAGACATGCCCGATCCTCCACTGTCAGGTTGCTCTGAACTGATAGCCAGATCATTCAGATTTAATGACCATTAATCCTTCCCTTGAAAATGACTCAAATTCAGGCCACAAAATGCAGCGAAGTGACTCACTCCTGTTTAGCTCCCTTTGATAATCTCCAGACACATAGAGGTGGAGGAGGCTGCTCAGGAACGGTCCTGGGAAAAGCTTTCCTACGGGGCACACGCGGGAGCCGCTGCTCCCTGCATGGAGCTCGTATTGTTCCACCTGGGAAGACGTAGTGCTGAGGGAAGAGCAGAAGGATCCTGCAGGGCCACTCAGATATATTTTGGCCTCTCCTTTACTCAAAGTTTGGGCAGCTGTCATCCGTGGGCCTTGTTCAGCACCGTTAGGCCAACAAGCCAGTGTCACTCACTAACTTCACTTCACCCACTTGTTTCCATAAAGCTGCTCTGAGATGGATAAAAATTAATAGAGTGCATACAATTAGCTCATTGCAATGGCACAGCTGCCATTATGGCATGTCTGCGTCCGTCCAATCTTTTTTTTTTTTTTTTTTTTTTCCAAAAGAGAGACATTTCCTAAATTTCGGATCAGCCAGAGATCGTGAAATGCCCTTTTGCCCAGCTTGGTGTGCTTTGTGTAAAGGGTATTTATTTAATCCATCTGAAACTACATGAGAAAGGAGAGAAATATCCCGGCGGCGAGATAAGATGATTATCTTCCTGGCAAACAATAGGAACACGGTCAAAATTAAAAATAATTTGATTGCAAATAGGAAGCCTAGTAAAGCAGCAGGA